TGCATAGCTAGATATCAGTTTGCAGCTAAATATTAATAAAAAAAAGAAACCAAACACCTTCTGTTCTGGTATACCCAGATAACTTTTGATTAATTAGTTTTATCAGGTACGTTAGCCAGTCATTCTCAAACATCTCCTAATCTATTCTAGTTTCATGTTTCCCTATGCAAATATTAGCAGAAAAGTAGGAAGAATGAAGTGGGAGAGTAAAATCTCATACTTTTAATGCTACATTGCTAGGGGCAATTTGTAAATTATAAAGGACTCCATTAATCCATAGTGCAACTGCCTCTGAGTGAAAAAAATCTCTCTTGGAACATCATAGACTAGCCTCCTCACCTGTAAGAGACTTCATTTTGAATTTGAGATTAATGATGCCTAGCAGTTGTATCTTAGTGCTAAATTAGCATTATGGGGGTTTTTTTCATTTTTCAAAAATTCTATCAATTTTGACCTGTGTTAAATGTTAAACTTTTCCTTTATCTTATAATTATTTTTCTACCATTATATCACTATATTTATATATAATGATATATATATACTTATGTGTGCTATGTCCATATACTATACATTTACATATAGTGTGTGTGTGTGTATGTATGATATGTATAATATGTATAGTATTATATAGATAATATATAAAAGTGTCTTATGCTTAGATACTATACTAAATAGAAAACTAATAATAAATTGGAACTATTTTTTTAAAGATTTTTAATGCCATCTAGAAAAAACAAGGTTTCCTTATAAGATTTTTTGGGGCCTATATACCACCATTAATGAAAAGGGAAAGTTTCTGTTGGGAGCAGAGGTTATGCTAAAGTGTGAGTATGAGTCCTGAAATAGTTCACCCATGTTCCCACTTAGGTTGAAGAACAGACCATCATTTCTAATTCTAGGAGTAAGAGATTTCCACTCCTCAGTTCTGGAAAGCAGGATTTCCTGGCTAATACTTAATGGGTGCATCCATATGTGCAATTAATGTGAAGTGAGAAACTCCAGAGCTGTTTGATCTGGAGTACACTGCTCCCAGATGCAGTGTCTATGTATGCACCTGAGACAGCTACAATTTGAGCCAGGGCAGAACAGGCCCAGGCTGGCAGCAGGGCTGGGGGTCAGCCCTGGGCTCCCGGTGGTGGTGTTGGGCAGCAGAGGGGCTGGCTGGGGTACGAGAGTGCCAGAAGTGTGGAGCCATGTGGCTGGGTGGCAGGCAGGAGTCTAGTCTCCTGCTACCTGGGCTGACCAGGCACAATTAATGCTTATGGTCACCATCCACATGTGCATTTCATTGCAATTAATTACTCCGCCATAAGACATTGCTGTCAGAGAAAGTACTGTCTTATGGTGGAGCTAATTAATTTACTGTTCCATAATACCAGTGCACGAGTAGACAGTGGCCATGTCTACATGAGACACTGGCTGTGCAGTAGCACAGTAGCAGTGTGTAGCAGGAAGCATGATGTGATGCTATTGCACTGTAGTCTCAGGCTACTGCACAGTCAGCATCATGAAAATGCCGTTTGGTGATGCTGCTGCACAGTAACTCTGGTTACTGTACAGTAATTTACTACTTGTTTATACAAATAGTAAAGGACTGCGCAGTAACGACTGTGCAGTCAGCGTCTCATGTAGATGCGACCAGTGACACATTACTGGGGAGCTAATTTGTCTACTCCACAATAAAGCACACGTGTAGATGCACCCAATCAGGCTAACTATTTTCAACTTCTTTTTTGTTCAATTGAACTTATCTGATCCTGATTTATTGCCCAAAATGTTTTCCTGTGATTTAATATGATTTGGCAAATCACAGTAATTAATTTTAACCCACAGCACTGATTGGCATGATGTACTGGCACAAATTTCCCAGAATGTGATAGCTAAAGCTTTGATTTCCCATGCCAGCCATGAAGCTTCTAGCTGCATAGAGAGAATTAAAATCATGTCCAACCAATCCAACATGTGCTTTAACTTTTAAATTCTCAGAGGCACATGTCATTTTGAAAACATATGGGAAAGTATGAAGAGAAATTCAGGGGCCACATCTACGCGAAATACTGACTGTGCAGTAGCCCAGTACTATGGCGCAATAGCATCACATGGCAAAAACTGTGACGTGACACTACTGCGCAGTAGTATTAGGCTACTGCACAGTAGCATCGCAGAAGAGGCATTTGCTGGTGCTACTGTAGAGTAACTCAGGTTACTGCACATTTAGTTAGTACTTTTTTATACAATAAATATATAAACAAGTACTAAATAAATGCACAATAACCACTGCGCAGTAGCAGCTTGTGTAGACGTGGCCAGGTAGTATCCCAGGACATTCTTAAGCGATGCATTCCATTCTAAAAATTGAAGACTCTCATTTAGTCTGTCAGCAGTGTGTAGTATGTCACCTATCCTGATATCACAATTACTATCAAATACTACAGCACTACAGATATCAAAAGCAATAACTGAAAATAATAGTCTGTCCTGTTAAGGAAACAAAATATCAGTGGATTCAGAAACTGAAATTCATTTTTTTCAAGATCATAGTCTCCTATTTCCTGGATCATTGCTCTATGAAAATACCCTGTGCTGAACACCCAGTTAAGCCAGACCTCCTGTCAGTTCCTGGATGATGATCTACACAGACTAGATGGTTTTATATGACAGGATAAAAAGGAACTTGCTTTAGGAAATGAAGCAACAGAAGAGAAAGGTCAAAGAGTAAACAGAAGCCTGAAGCTTAAGTTTATACCAGATAGCAACAGCAAACCAATTCGATACTAACAAAAAACTAATGTCAGCTTTCGGTATCTTCTTCTAAAGCTCTAAGGTAGATGGCATTTGTGGCATAATGATGTCTGAGGAAAGGGAACTACAGAAGGCATCCTAGGTTTGTGAATTAAATTGGAGGCTAAGAACTAAGAAACCTTGTGTTCTAACCCCAATATTTGCCCCTGACTCACTCTGTGACCTTGGACTTCATATAAAAAAAGGGTATACAAGAGCTTAATATTATTGTAAGAACAAAATATGGACAGAAGACCTCACATAATTTAAGCTCTAAATTAGAGATGAGAAACAGTTCCAATTGTGTTATGGAACATTATATCATATTTTCACATGGAATGAAAAGCTATTGAGAAGGCAGTAAAAACTGACCTAAATATTTAATGTTTCTCTTTATGCAATGAATAAAAAATAGCGCATATCTTATTAATAAAAGAGGTAAAGGAGCACTCTGCTTCTTTTCATATTTCTTTCTTTTTGTTTCTTTATCTTTTGTAGAGTGCTCGTACGCTTTCTCTGTCACTGGCCCACCAGCTGATCAGATGCAGTTGTCTTTTTCCTGTCTCAGCTTCTGAGTTGCATTTTGTGGCTTTCTAACCTTCAGTCTGGTATATGTGCTTGCCTATAACATGTACTGTCTGTTAGAACACCACTCTCTCCTTTCCTTCTCCAGTTTTTTTGAAAATTCTTCCAAATAGGGGTCTTACTCTAGTAGCTGTCAATAATTAGATTGCTGTCTTCTCAATTATTACTGTTACATGGGTATATCTCAGTAGCTTTTTCAGATAGTTTTCTTTTTTTTTTTTAAAACATGATCCTAGTCCCAAATTGTTTATATCCTGAGGATTCAGACTTGCAAAATGCTGAGGCTGAAAGGAGCATGTCTCTTGTGAACACTAACAACATTCACTAACTAAGCATGTTATTTTGGTTTATATAAGCTATCTTAATCAGATTATCACAATATTTAAAAGGTCCAAGAGCTGAACACATTTTTCATAGATTCATAAATTGTAGAGTTGGAAGGGCCCACAATGGATCATCGTGTCTGACCGCCTGCCCCTGGCAGGAAAGAGGACTGAGGTCAGATGACCCCAGCCAGGTGACTATCAAGCCTCCTCTTGAAGACCTCCAAGTTAGGTGATAGTACCACCTCTCTTGGAAGCCCGTTCCAGATTCTGGCCACCCTTACTGTAAAAAATGTCTTCCTAATGTCTAACCTAAATCTACTCTCCACTAGTTTGCACCCATTATTCCTAGTTACTCCTAGGGGTGCTCTGGTAATTGCACATCACCAATTCCCTGTTGTCTTCCCTTGATAAACTTATAGGTGGCTACAAGGTCTACCCTCAGACATCTCTTGTGAAGGCTGAAGAGATCCAGATCCCTCAACCTCCCCTCATAGGGTCTTTCACGGAGGCCACTAATCATGCAAGTGACCCTCATCTGAGCCCTCTCCAGATTCTCCGTGTCCCCCTTGAAGTACGGTGCCCAAAACTGGACACGGTGCTCCAACTGTGGCCTGACCAATGCCACATAGAGGGGGAGCATCACCTCTCTTGAACTGTTAGCCATACATCTGCTAATACACAATAAGGTGCGATTGGGCTTGTTGATGGCCTTGTTGCACTGCCGGATCATGTTCATCTTGGAGTCAACAATGATTCCAAGATCTCTCTCAGCCTCTGAGCTGCTGAGGAGGTCATCCCCCCAACCTACTGCGTTCATTTTGGACTGCATAGCAAAGAAGAGATTGTACCTTTGTCATAAGGGGATGAGTCCAGAGGCAATCCCCTGAAAGTCCTTGTAACTAGAAAATCTATGCAGCATGAACCAAATTCTGTTTTATCACCTTCACTGCCCAATATATGAATGAAATTACAACTACAAGGAACTGTCTGGAACATGGATTTTTTTTTGTTCCTTTGTACAATAACAGATCCTTGATCCAGGTTCCTAGGGGATACTGTAATACCATGTAGAATAATAACTCACATTATAGCTTAGTGGCTCTCAAACTGGAGCTGAAGAATGCTTTCTTGTTAGCCCCCAGGATTGACTGATGTAGAGTGGTCCCAGGTCAGGTCTCTTCCTCATGTGATGGTTTGCAGAATGAAAATGCTTGTATAAGCAATGTTCTGGTTGTACTGCAGTTCTTCATAAGCTACTGTCTGAGTTTTTTAAAGTATGCATTCTGATTCTCCCCCTGTGCCTCTCAGTTTTACAGGAGATTCTAAATTAGCTTCCAGCATGCGTTATGTTGAAACACAGTCTATGCAAATTGGAGCATCATACATGATACAGTTCAACTTGGTGATGGGCTGTGGCCAGCAGTTTACTCCTCATATGGACAACCAGGTGAAATTGGAGTATTCCACCAACCATGGCCTTACTTGGCACCTTGTTCAAGAGGTAAGGCTAGTTTGTGTTCAGTGACATCCACCCACCCAGATATCATCTTTGTGGCATGGGTCATGTTTGTGGCATCAAAAATCTCAAGCTACAGTTTTTTTAAGTTCTGAACAACAACTGGAACTCTTTTAACTTCAATGCATAGTACTTCCAAGAAATTATATGAGGGTCTGAAATACAAAGTTATAGAAGAAATTGATTTAACTAGAAAGAAATTAACTGGTGAGGATACAATAAACACTTACGGTGTGGAAGTTCAGACCTTTCCTCTGCTACTTTCTTTCTTTCTATGAGTAAGATACATTTCTTTACTGAAACATAGTTTCCTGCATACTCAGTCATTTTGTAGATGAAAAGTATGTTCCTCCAGGAGATTGGTAATATGGAGTCTTTCACCTCTCATCACTGATTCAAACCCAGTGCAGGGAGCCTTTCACTAACACTTACCATGGTCTCAAGTCTGTTATTTGCTTATGTGATTTGATTATCTCAGTCTTATTCTACTATACAGGTGTGAATATCACATTTGCCTGTAATTTGCATCCTCACTGCCTGTCTCAGAAGAGAAGCCAAAGTTTTACTAGCCAAGGGAGAGAATCTCTTGTCCCTTTTTCCTTCTTGTGGAGAGACACTTGTACTGGTGCCCTGAGCAATACATAGATGCGTAGCAATGTAGATGCATATGGAGGATTTTAGTGTCTGGGGCTCCAATCCAGCACCTTTCATGTATAGTGAAACATTTTCCTGTGCCATTTTGTGTCTTGGCACATTTAATTTGATGAGCAGAGTACAAAAATGGCAGTAGTTTAAAGTTTAAACATTTCAGTTTCTCTTTCAGGGATGCATCACTGCTTGGAAAGCACTAAAATGGTTTGTATGAGTAGGTACTACTGGCCTCATCATTAGTGAAAGATCAGTTGCTTTTAGATTTCGGGAGTTTTATCGTATCTCAGTAGCATTGATTTCAGAAGGAAGAGCCTGGAGTTGAATAATTCTTCTCACATGACCAGATGTTGCCATGATAAAAAGAAAAGACTAAAGCAGATAATGTAGCCAGTAAAAAAACCACAATTGGTCAAAATGTCTGATAATTGGTCTGAAAGGGTTTTTTTGCTTTTCACTCACTGATTAGATCTATTAAGACCATTTCTAAAAGATGACAGAGACAAGTTTGAAAATTACTAGAAAGGAAACTATCCCTTCAGAAGTAGTATTCCAAGTCTCCCAGCAAGCATTCAGTATTTTCAGATCGTTAAGGGATAGATTGAATGGCTAGATCAGGGGTAGGCAACACCCAGCACAAGTGCCAAAGCATGGCACGTGGAGGCATTTTGCTTGGCACATGCACCTCAGGATGGATGGCAGAGAAGGGGTCAGGGTTGCACGGTGCACCAAGGCTCCACTGCTGTGTTGAATACGTGTTGAGCTTCTATAAGATTCATTATACAAATAGTCTTGGTCACTTTGAGTACTTGCAACATGCTGTTCTTTTACTAATAATTATACAGCTCCCAAGACATGCTAACTGCCTTCCAGGTAAGTCAAGGCCCTCTCTCAAAGAGCTGACAGTCTGAAATCCCATAGTGTAATAAGTTGCAGGTAGATGAATCCTAACCTCTGGTCAGATCTTATGGCAGAATTAGAATCTACATAAAGAACAGCCAGATGAAAAGCAGATAAAGTATAATTTTATCTTAATTTAGTTTTTCATCACAGAACACATTACCAAAATAAGACCAAGCTTTTACTTCTACTAATTAATACCAATATCCATTGTTTTAATTTTTTTAAATTATGCACTTACACCAAACTTAAAATGTAGCCAAGTATTATATCTGTTGTACAACTTTACTGAGTTGCTCAAGATTGCACAGCTAATCAGATGCAGAGCTAGGAGAAAAAACTGAGGAGTCATGACTGCCAGTTCCGTGCTCTTATCAAGAATATGGCCTAGAGCAGGAATGTTTAACTCTGAGCAC